AACAGAGAGAGACTTGAGACCAGGGTGAAGCAGCAGCACACAGGTCTTTCTTCCACAGTTCTCCCCCTGACTGCACCTTAGAATCATCTGGGGAGCATTTTGTAAAAATCCCAACGTCTCAGCTCCACCCTGGACCAATTAATCAGAGTCTCTGAAGGTGGGGCCTGGACACCATATTTGCTGAAAAGCTCCCCAGATAATTCTAAAGTGCAGGTGGGATTGGGAGCCACCACCTTGGTTCTCGCTGAGTAGTCACCGGAGCGGAGGTAATTATTTAATCCTTAAACCCAGGAGCCTCATCTACTGAATAACTGCTACCTGGCCCCCTTTGAAGTTACAAAGTCTCACTTTGGCAGCTGCTCTGATTAGCTGTTGAAAAATGATCTGCCCCGTGGGTATATACCCAAGAGAATTGAATGGAGGGTCTCAAAAGGATACTGGTATACCAGTGTTCATAGCGGCATTATTCACGATGGTCAAAAGGTGGAAACAACCCAAATGTGGACGGATGGACAGATGAATGGATAAACAAAATGAGGACTACACTTACAATGGAATATATTCCGCCTGAAAGAGGAAGGACATTCTGACACATTCTAAGCATGGATAAACCTTGTGGACATTATGTGGTGTGAAATAAGACAGTCACAATAAGAAAAATACTGTATAACTTCACTAATGTGAGGGACCTAGAACAGTCAAGGTCATGGAAATGGAAGTAGAATGGTGGTCTCCAGCACTGAGTGGAGGTGTTTATTGGTTATACAGTTTCAGTTTTGCAAGATGAAAAAGTTCTAGAGATTGGTCTCACAACCATATAAACACGTATACTTATTACTACTGAACTGTACATTTAGGCATGGGTGAGATGGTACATTTTAAAGTATGTGTATTTTATATTTTACCACAATTTTTTCATAAGTGCCCTATCCCTGACAGTGGATTGAGTGGCGTCCTGTGAACCAAAAGGTTGCTGGTTTGATTCCCGGTTACGACACATGTCTGGGTTAGTCCCAGGTTGGGGGTGTGCGAGAGGTCCATGTTTCTCTCACACATTGATGTTTCTCTCCATCTCTTTCTCCTTCCTTTGCCATCTCTCAATATAAATAAATAAAATCTCTTTAGAAAAAAAAAAGCCCTGAGTCCTGGCTGGTGTGGCTCAGTGGATTGAGTGCCAGCCTGCGTACCAAAGGGCACATACTTGGGTTTGATTCCCAGTCAGGGCACATGCCTGGGTTGCAGACCAGGTCCCCAGTAGGGGACGCATGAGAGGCAACCACACATTGATGTTTCTCTCCCTCTCTTTCTCCCTCCCTTCTCCTCTGTCTAAAAATAAATATATTTTTAAAGATTTTATTTATTTTTGGAGAGAGGGGGAGGAAGAAAGAGAGGGAATGAAACATCAATGTGTGGTTGCCTCTAGTGTGCCCCCTACTGGGGACCTGATTCGCACCCCAGGCATGTGCCCTGACTGGGAATTGAACCAGTGATGCTTTGCTTCACAGGCCCACGCTCAATCCACTGAGCTACACCAGCCAGGGCTTAAAAATAAATATTTAAAAAAATGTCCTGAAATTTAGTGGCCTGAAGCAGCAACAATAATTCCATTATTTTTTTCTTTTGAAAATGTTATTACAAGTATGGGGGAAACATTCGTTAATAACATGATATAAATTTCAGGTGTACAACTTTATCATATGACCTCTTATACTATATTGTGGGCTCACCACCTGAAGTCTAATCTCCTTCTGTAGCCATGTCCTTGACCCTTTGACCCTCTCATTTCATTACCTTTCACTGCACCTGCAGCTGGCTCAGCAATCCCAGAAAGGCTTCACTGGCCAGCCAGGGCCTGGGACATCTCATGAGGTCACGTGGCTAGAACTGGAACAGCAAAAGGGGCTGGGCAGGCATCTCTGTCTTTGGGTCATTTCAGGGCTTCTCTCTACAGTTTCTCCTCATGGGCTGGTTGGGCTTCCACTGGGCAAACATTCTCAGTCAGGGTTCAAAACTCAGGCGTCCCCACGAACAGGGTGGAAGCAGCCTCCCTTTCCCTGACTTGGCTAGGAAGTTAGTGTCCCTTCTGCCACATTCTTTTGGTCAGTCGCCAAAGCCAGTCCAGTTTCAAGGGAAGGAAACTGAGATCCCCCCACCCCCTCAAGGGGAGTGGCCTCAAAGAGATGCTACAAGATCTTGTGGGACCAGAGACAATGACGAAGGAGCCATCTTTGTAAAATGCAATCTGCCACAGCCGTGACCTAAAGAACTTAGCGAAACCCCTTATCACCATAATTATTCCTTTGTTGGCATGATTTAACTGTGGGAATATTTAAAGTTAATATAAAAATGTTCTCGTGACTGAGATCTCTGGAATGAACGTTTTGGTGGAAGGAATTTGAGCTTATTTGGCTTTTTATGCGGTGGAAAGGTTTAAGAGCATCTGGCCTACTCGAGTTTCCCAGGGAGATTGGAGTTCTCAAAACTCTTCCCTGCCATGAATCGGGATAGATGATATATGGTAGTCAATGGAGTATTTCTTTTTGTAAACTTGAAAAATCCTCAAGACAAACCTTTGTGACAAAATAAAATAAAAATTATCAAATAGTGTCAACTATTCTCATATTGTCCCCCTTCAACCCATCTGGACCCCTTATCTCACCCTCTGGAGTAGAATAAGGGGAAAGGTCATGGTGGGAGGCTGGACTAGGGGTCAGGAAAGCACTTAGGAAAGGCCTTTCCTAGGAGGTTGAGCAATAGTTGGGAAAAATCTTACCAATGTGAACAGGCATGTGCTTTCCAAACTTGCTAATTTCAAACAGAGTTTCAAATCATTCTCAGCAAAGTGGTACTCATTCTCGGAGAGTAGCCTTGTATCCTGAATGTTTTATGTTCTCTATTCGCCTCAAAGTACAATGGTCACATACTGTAATTAAAGATATAATTTATTTAGAGAGAGGGGATGGGAAGGAGGAGAAACATCGATGCATTTGTGTGAATGTGTGAGAGAAACATCATTTGGCTGCCTGTTACACGCCCGCCAACCAGGGACCTGGCCCACCACCCAGGCATGTGCCCTGACTGGGAACCCAGCTGGCGACCTTTTGGTCTTTGGGAGAATGTCCAACTGACTGAGCAACCACACATTGATGTTTTTCTCCCTCCCTTCCCCCTCTGTCTAAAAATAAATAAATAAAATCTTTAAAAAAAAGATTGGCTTACAAGTATCTGTTTGAGTCCCTGTTTTCAATTTCTCTGGGTGTATACGTAAGAGTGGAATTGCTGGCTCATATGGACCCAGAAATATGTCTGGGGATTTAAGGTCCCCAGCCATCAGCCAACATCGACTTGCCAATCATGTGAGTCACCTTGGAAGGGGATCTTCCACCCCAAGCCATCTGCTGACTGCAGCCAAAGGTTACATCTGACTGCACCCTCATGAAAGACCTTGAACTAGAACTTCTCAGCCAAACTGCTTCTGAATTCCAGAAGCCGGGAGACTGTAAGAGATAATGTGTTTGTTGTTTTTAAGTCTCTTAATTTTTTAAACAGATTTTTAAAAGAATTTATTTGTTCATTTTTAGATAAAAGGGAAGAGAAGGAGAAAGAGAGGGAGAGAAACATCAGTGTGTGGCTGCCCCTCTAGTGCCCTGTACTGGGGACCTGGCCCTAAACCCAGGCATGTGCCCTGACTGGGAACTGAACTGGTGACCCTTTGGTTCGCAGCCCGTGCTCAATCCACTGAGCCACACCAGCCAGGACAAGTCTCTTAATTTTACATAATTTATTGCATATCATAACCAAAGAGTAGGCAGGCACTGGCCAAGTTATTTTTTAAATGATCGTGACGTTGGATGAACTGCTATCCCCTTCTGAGTCCTAGAGTTGTAGTCTGTAACAGGGGGTGAAATATCCACCTCTGAGGCACAGAGTATGTACCTCATGAGGCAGGAGCAGATCACATAGTCAGAGCTTAATATACCATCCGCAGCAATACCCCTTAATGATGTGGGCCAGTGAGCCTAAATTTGAATCCCGCTTCACTACTTCTAAAACATAAGGCTTCATTCAGGCTACTAATACTTAATTCTGCTGGCCCTTAGGCTCTTTAGCTATGAAATGGAAATATTAAAGAACATATCTAATTTTATAAGAATTGTAGAAATCACCCATATGAAGCCTATATAAGCTCCATGAGAAGGCAGCTGTTTTCTTTCTCGTCCATTGCTCTATCGCTAGCACAGAACAAGTGCTCAAAAAGTATTTATTGAATAAATAATAAAAAGGCACCTTGCGTACGGAAGATACACGTTAGCTTTTACCAGCCTACAAGGCCCTGCATGATCCCCTACCTGCTTCATCGATGATTTAATCTCTTACCACTTGGCACCCCCTCACTCCCCTCCAACCACCCGGCCGTCCCCACAGTTCAGCTAGCCAGCACACTCCAACCTCAGGCCCTTTGCACCAGCCCCCCCCACCCCCCACGTCCTGGAAATGAGCCATCTTCCGGTTATTCACATAGCTTGATTCGTCATCTTCAGATCTCTACTCAATGTCTCCTTCCCTCAGAGACATTCTGGGGCCAGTTCTGTCACCCTGTAGTCCCCATACCCTGCTTCATTTTTCTCCGAAGCATTTAGCACGGCCTGATGTTTATTTATTTTTCTTTGGGCCCTCTTCAACATGAGATAAGCTCCACGAGGGCAGGACCTCGTCTATTTTATTCCCCACTGTATTTCATAACACCCCAAAAGGCAGTTTTGCAGCAAGTGGTACGTCAATACTTGATGAGTGAATAGTCTCACAACGATCACCTGAGTATCTTCGTGTATCTTCGTGGGGGCCGTAGGCCCGGCTATTGTCGGGCCAGGATTGGCTGGATCCTCTGCCACGTGATTTGCATTAGCCGGCCGCCTTTGAAGCTGGAGAGGTCCACGTGGTCTCAGGCTGCAAGGGCGGGCCGGGCCTCGGAGGAGCTACTGCGCAGACTCAGACTCTGGCGCAAGCGCAGACGCGGGCGGGGTGTGCGGCCGGCGGCGGTTGGCGTGAGCAGACTCGAAGTGCAGGCAGCGAAAGCCGGCGCCATGGTGGAGAAGGAGGAGGCTGGCGGCGGCATCAGCGAAGAGGAGGCGGCGCAGTATGACCGGCAGATCCGTCTCTGGGGATTGGAGGCCCAGAAACGGTCAGGGCTGGTGCAACTTGTGGGGTTGAGGGATCCGCAGGGGGCGTCTGGCCCGAGGCGTCTGCGGCCCTCCGGGAGTGGGAGGGTATAGTTTGAAGAGAGGAGGCGGGAATTCTGTACCCGGGGATGGTAGCCGGTCAGGGACGACCGCAAGGGTTGGTTTCCGGAAGGCGTGGGAAGCGGGATGTCCCAAGGGGTGAGATGGTGGTTCTGAATGATTGGAGGCCTCTGGGAGGGGGTGGGGGAGCCCTAAGGAATTAGGAAGATTTCAAATTTAGCCAGGCGGAAGCCCGAAAGGGGTGGTGGTGGAGTTTAGGTGCGGGGTAGGGGCTTAGGGAATAGGAGGGGCCGGAGATGTGGGGAAAGGATGAAGGGAGGGGACGTAATTCATTCATTCGTGGATAGTAGGGACCCGTTCTTTGCTGGACGCTGGGGAAGACTGACGAATCAAACATGCACTTTACAATCTTGTGTTTACTAAGGGGCGGGCCAGCCTGAAAGAAGGAGGATTTTGGAGGAGTTTGGGCTCCACGTTATTTTTAATGGCAGTCTCGAGAGGCTCAAGGAGCCTAGGGGGGGTTGGAGGTACCTGAGGGGATTGCTTGAGTCGGGAGAGGACAAGCCACTGAGACTGGGCTTACCTGGGGTATTGAGGAATAGTTACCAGAGGAAATGATTTCTTTGAAAGAGGTGATTGATTTGATCAGATATTTATCGAGCACCTTCCACAGCCACTGTTCTAGGTGGAGAATATAGATCCTTGGACTAAACAAACTGCTTCCTTGCATGGAACTTATATTCCAGTGCTAGTGACAAATCTTAATAATATAATTTGAAGTAATGCAAGTTCCTCGGGATTAAAATAAAGCAGGATAAGAGGATTGATAACGGATGGTGCGGTGGAGAGCTGTTTTGAGGGGGTGGCCAGGGAAAACCTCTCTGAAGGGGAGACCCTGTGCCTCAGACCTGTCTGAAAGGACAAGGGCAGCTGCAAGGACCTTCCTGCGGTAGGGAACAGCAACTGCGCAGTCCTGGAGGTCAGGGATGCTTGGCAAATTAAACAGGACGGCTGCAACCAAATGGGTGGGGGAGCAGCTTTTTTTTTTTACTCTAAGCATGCTGGGAAACCGGTTGGAGAGTTTTGAGTAGGAGTAACCTAGTGAGATTTGTGCTTTAAAAGGACCATTCTTGCAACGTGGAGAATCGGTTGAAGTGGGCAGAAGTGGAAATAAGGGTTCCAGTTAGGAGACTACTGCAGTATTTACTACAATAATCCACTTGAGACATAAGTAACAGAGCCAGGAACTCTTGAGAAGGGGCCAACTAATGTACTCTGGATCTATTTTGAGGATACTGGGGGCCAGGATTTGCTGAAGGAGTCAGTGCGGGATAGGAGAGGTGGAACTCAGGGATGGCTGAGACTGGGCCTGGAGACAACAGGTGGGGTTCGTTGATTTTGGCATGTTTGAAGGGTATGGAATTCTTGGGAGGTGGCAGTTTTTCTGGGGGAGTGGAGAGGTATTGAACTCTGTGGAGAGCCTGAGAAGGGTTGGCTGAGAGTCCTGGGAAGGAAGGAGAAGGAAGGAAGGAAGGAGTAATCTAAAATTTGGGAAATATTTGTAGATAGTCTTACAGATTTTATTAAAGGGTTCTCATGTCCATTTTTTCTCCTTCCCCCTTTTTTCCCCTATTAAAAAAACATCTATTTATTTGTTAGAGAGGGCAAAGGAGAGAGGAAGAGAAATATTGACCGGTTGCATGTCTTATGTCCCCCAACTGACTAACTGAACCCACGACCTAGGCATGAGTCCTGACGGGGAATGGAACCCATGACCTTTCCCTTTGCGAAACACGTCCAACCCACTGAGCCGGGCCACGCTCCCACTTTTTGCTTTTTGTCATGTCCATTTGTCAGCCGAGTCTCGCAGCAGGGCTCTGGAGTAGGAAGAGCCGTGATTTCCTCCCTTGTGCAGACAGGAAGGTTGTGCCACAAAGCAGATTGACTCTCCTTTGAGGGAACGCTGGGTGCAATAGGAAAACTCTGGGGCCGGGGGCTCCTTTGTGAAGTGCAAGGGGGTCTGGGATTCTGCAGATGTCATTCTGGCTCCAGTGTCATATCTGACAGAGATGTTGGATGACCAGCGCTGGCAGGGAGCATAGTAACGTCAGGAGGGGCCTTCCCATGGAGCTTACAGTCTAGAGGTCACACTGGACTGTGTCTCACAGTGTTGCACGTTTTTAGAAATTAGCTGCCAGTGTCGAAGAATCTAGAGAATTGGCCAAATTTGGGACAGTTTGAGATTCAGAAAGAATAACATCAACTTCATTGAAAAAAAAGTACTGAATAACTTAGAATTCCTAAGACCAAGGTAATATTCAAACAAAAGAGAAATACAAACTTTTTGGAGGTGATTATTAATAATGTGCCTTCTGATGTGGGCAAATAACAGTGCCTTGTCTTTGAAGATTTCCCTGCTCAGTATCTATTGAAGGATAACATTGAGGTAAATGATACATGTTACAAGACAATCGCAGAAGCCAATGTCATGGGAAAAACAAGTGAAGCCATTGTTGTAGACTGAATAGAGAGGTGGAGCTGCCCCAGCTGGTGTGTCTCAGTGGGGTTGGGTGGCGTCGGCAAACCAAGGGGTCACTGGTCTGCTTACAGATTAGGGTGCATGTCCAGGTTGCTGGGGGCGGCGGACTGCAGGGCATTCAACAGGCAGCCCATTGATGTTTCTCTTGCACATGCACATCCAAGTCGCATGCTCTCTGTTTCTCCCTCCCATTCCATGTCTCTAAAAATGAATGAAGTCTTTTAAAAAAAAAAAAAACAGAAACAAAGAGATGGAGCCAGTTGTAAAGTGTGAACCGTGATTGGGTCCTGATTCAAAAAGAACACTTATAGAATAAAACATTTTTTAGAGAATGGGGGAAATTAGAACATTCAGTCCCATTCGATGATATTTGGGGATTATTTCCTAGATGTGATAATAGTATGGTTATGGAGAACATCCTTTTTTGGAGAGGCACGTTAGAAGCGTGGAATGCCATGGTGTGTGTTTATGGGTAAAGCAAATAGGGCAAAATGCTACTATTTCTACTTTTCTGTATGTTTGAAATTTTTAATAATGAGAAGTTAGGGGCAAGTGTGACCCCCACCTCCATCTAGAAATTTCGTATAGAATCCCACACAGAGTTTCTGATTTCTGTCCATTGGAAAATGGAAAAGTCAGACACCCCCACATTGGCCAGAGCTAAGTGGAAGCGGCCTCTTTTACACAGAGCATGGGTTCTGCACTTTGCTGTCCTCTCCACAGCTCGGCTTCACTTGTAAATACATGGTTTGGCCCCTGTAAGCCTGTGAATTTGCATCTCTTGTTGTGGTGCATGACCCATTTTATGGATGTGGTTCAGAGAAGGGAGCCAGCTCCCTCAACACGGCACACCAAGTAAGTGGAAGTAGGATTGGTACGTAGTCCCTAGGTTCAGGTTAGCTGCTATTTCCATACCAGCTAATTTTCCACCACAGGGGCACATTCTTTCAATCAAATTAACATAAAGGCTGCCAGCTGTGCATGTTCTCTGGAATGTGCGCTTCCCTGGTTTTTGTGCTGCCTTTCACAACAAAGGCATGGCTCCCACTCACCAGTAATTTATCCTGGTACCTAAGAGAGGAAGGGAGCGGGACTGCAAAGAGGGAAGTAGATTATAAACCCCGTAGGGCAAGTAGTTTATATGTGTCCAGTAATTAAGACTGGGGTTCTTACTGGTCTCTTAAATTTCCAGCGCTTGCAGACCTGGATACATTGAGATATTTGTTGAGTGAATGAAATGATTGCACACTGCAAAGAGCTAGGGAGCCGAAAGGCCTGGGTTCGGTTCCCAGCTCTCCTAAAGAGTTCCTTGGGTAAGTCACCCAATTCTTGGCCTTAGGATCCACATCTGCAAAAAGGAAAAGTGAGTGTAACTAAATCTTGAAGGACTCGTTCAACTTTGAAATTCTGACTTTACAAAAAAGGACTATAAAACCTTCCCTATTTTCAGCACTTGGTACCCAACACTGCAGGCTGTACTAAAGCACCGCAGTCGGCTCCGTAGGCACCACCCATTCTCATTGAAGTGACTGGACATGTGCTGCACACTGGTGGATGCCTGTGAGGGCCGGTTTATTCTAGGGGGCGAGAGTGGCAAATGGTTGAGTTTGAATCTCAGCTTGAGAACTTCTGAGTTTTTTAACCTTGGATACGTTTCTTCTCTGTGCTTCTTTTTCTCGTTGATCAAGTGGAGACAATATCCTCCATTGGATGAGATTATGGAGAACGAAATGAGAAAATGCATGAGTAGTGTCTACGCACGGAAGACGTTTGGTAAATTATAGCTGCAATTATTTGATGAGTATAAATCACCAGCAACAACAGAAGGGAAGCTAAATAGGAAGTAGCTTGAGATAAATAAGGTAGATGTGTAGAGCGGGTCAGTGGGTCAAGTGGGGACCCCAGGAGGAGGAGGCAGACTGTAGGAGGAGCGCCTGTGCAGCAGCAGCTCACGGTTGGGAGCCGGCTTGAGTTACAGTTCGGATTTTGACAAGACATTTAAGTGCCTGTAATGAATGGGTAGTTGGATGGAGCAGGATTGGAGATTTACATGAAAAGCTCTGTTAAGTGAAGAAGAGACTACTTTTAGAAGGGGATGGTAATCAGACCTGCAGAATGCTGACGACCCCACCATTTCCTGTTGCACAGACCAGAAACCTCCTAGTTCTTTGTTCTTTGTTCGTCCGTATCCCTTAAGCCCACATCAGGTCTCTTGGGAAGCCCTGTTGGCTCTACTTCAAACTTTATTTCATCTGCCTTTCTGCGTTTTTTAGCCTAAGCCACACCCATCATCTCAGGTGACCTCTGCAGTGTCTTCCCTGGTCTCCCCTGCTCCACTCTTGACTTTGTGTGTGTGTGTGTGTGTGTGTGCGTGCGTGCGCGTGAGGGGAGGGGCTTCATAAT